GTACATCAGATTGAGATAATGAAACAACCAAGATTTTCTAAAATGAAGGATTAAAGTGTTACCATATCATAATTTAACTCTAATGTAATTAATAAAGAACAAAAAATGTCACTACAATCAGTGGTATACAGAATAATTAAGGCACAGGATGTAGCTCACTGGTAGAGGGCCAAGCATATAACAAAGCCCTAGGTTTGGTCCCCAGCACTGTAAACACACACACACACACACACACACACACACACACACACAAATAAAAAATAAGGCAGGCTGAGAAGGTGGCTCAGAGGTAGAGTGCTTGTCTTGCATATATGAGGTCCTGGGTTATATTCCTCAGCACCACATAAGCAGAAAAAGCTGGAAGTGGCGCTGTGGTTCAAGTGGTCGAGCGCTAGCCTTGAGCTGAAGAGCTGAGGGTGCCCAGGCCCAGAGTTCATCCCAGGCCCACGACTGACAAAAATAAATAGATCGATCAATAGATAGATAGATAGATAGATAGATAGGCAAGCCACACTGAGTGGAAGTATTTATTTGTAATATATGTATCTAGAGTATTATATAAAGCATTCTTACATTCTTTAGGGATATCCATTGGCATCTAAAAGGGCCCACATCAGAAACAAATGATTTAAAAGAGATGTTGCTCAAAGGAAAATATAAGAATATTCAATAAGTACATGAAAAAGTACTCAACATCATTAGTTATCAGAGAAATGAAAATCAAAAACCAAAATAAGATAATTATTTCACACTTAGTTGGAAGACTCAAATTCAAAGGACTGACACTACTAAGTGCTTACAAACATGAGCAACAATAGACCTGTCTACATTACTTGTAGTAATATAAAATGAAAAAAACCACTTTGGATATGGTTTGGCAGATATCACACCACAAGGTTAAGTTTAGAAATTTAAACCTATATTTTATCATATGATCTAGCAATTCCACTCTTAGGTATTTACCCAAGATAAATGAAAACCAGATCTACAAAAAGTCTTATACATAAGTGCTCATGGCATATTTTTCAAAATAGTCAAAACAATCCAAATGCCTACAAATAGGTAAGTAGATAAACTGTGGTCTTATTCATATAATGATCCACTATTCACCAACTTTTTGAAAGAAGAATATGATACAGATAACCTGAAGTAATGTCGATGAATCTCACAAACATCATGCCAGGTAAAACAAAGCAGACACAAAAGAGTGTACACTAAATTATTTCATCTTTGTCAAGTTTTAGAAGAAGAAAAACTAATCTAGAGGAACTGAAATTAGATCAGTGGTGACTGAAAGGAATAAGGAAGTATAGAAAGATATAGAAATGTTCTATATCTTAATGAATAGTGTTAATTATATAGATTATATATGTCAAATCTCATTTTAAATGTATTTACTAACTATATAAATTATACTGTAGCCAAGCTGACTGAAAGATATCACATCTAGATTTGTTGTAAAGTCCTGAATTACATAATTTTTAAAAAGTATGCATATCCAATGCATCAAGAGCAGACTACTTGAAAAAATATATATTTTTTGTTAGTCATGGGGCTTGAACTCTGGGCCTGGGCAGTTCTTCAGCTCAAGGCTAGCACTCTACCACTGGGCCACAGCATCCCTTCTGGCTTTTTCTGTTTATGTGGTGCTCAGGAATCAAACCCAGGGATTCATGCATGCAAGGCAAGCACTCTACCACTGAGCCACCTTCCCAGCCCTTGAAGATAATTTTTTAAGCCCTCATATCAAATTTCCCTTCAGAGATACTAAATTAGAGCTGATAGTCATAACATTTATAGTTATTAAAGAAAGTGACTTAAATTTATATCAGCTGGACATGGTAGCACCCATCTACAATCCCAGCACTCTGAAGGCTGAGGCAAAAGAATCATGAGTTCAAGGCCATGTAGGGCTAATGTAGTACCAACTTGTCTTAAATGAATGAATTAAATAATTAATACAAGTATATACTTCCTCAAGAATTCTTTGTAAGTGAAGATTAGTGAAAGCCAATCTAAGGGATTCAGAAAAAATACCTTAAATTCACTCTTCGAGAAAAAATAAATAAGGGCTGGGAAGGTGGCTCAGTGTTAGAGCGCTTGCCGTGCATGCCTGAGGCCCTGGGTTCGATTCCTCAGCACCACATAAGCAAAAAGAAAAAAGCCGGAAGTGGAGCTGTGGCTCAAGTGTTAGAGCGCTAGCCTTGAGCTGAAAAGCTGAGGGACAGTGCCCAGGCCCAGAGTTCAGGCCCCACGACCGGACCCAAAAAAAAAAAAAAAGAAAAGAAAAAATAAATAAATAAAAGCCTTTTCTTAAACTCAAAAATGAAGGTCTAAATGCTTATTACAAATACAATATGAAATGGAATAAAATGTAAAAGAATAATAGTAATTCCTTGAAGATATAATACAAAAGCAATATACAGAGATAATGAGCTCAAATTCAGATTTTATTTTATTTACTTAATAGGGAGTGAGGTCCAGAGCTAACTAAATTGTGAAACGTCCGTTTATGAAACACATTTGTCTTTCAAATATTAAGGAAGCTGTTTATGTTCTTATATGAAATATCCATAAAATAAATTTGTTCTAAAGAGGAAAGTTCAATGTAAAAATATGCATAAATTTATGCAACAAAAGAGGCAAACATACAAATGAAAATGGTAACCTTGGTTGCCTTAGGCAGAGAACTGTTGGTAGCTTGGAAATAGGAATAACAAGGAAAGTGTATTGTAAATGAGCTATTTTTAAAAATAAAATTTTTACATGTATTGTTTGCTTTGTTCTCTGTGTAGTTTAAGAATCAAATAAATGTTGCTTCAAGACTTTTATTCTTATGCAAATCTAACATAAGATAAAGACAATGTCACAAATCTGAAGACATACAATAAATTATCTTAAAGTAGTTGGTTCTCTACTTGGGGGAAAAAGGTAATATTTAGTTCTTACTTTATAAATCCTGTTGAGAATAAACTACAGAAAGTAGAGAGTTAAATTATGAAATATAAGCTTGAAGTATTAAATATCTAAATATTAAAATAATAAAATATTAAAAAGTAGGTAAATTTTAAGCAAAGATTCCAAGAGAAATCTGGTCAATTTTAATCTTCTAAAAATTTAAATCTTTTATTGACCAGAAACATCATCTAAAATGAAAAGGCACACTAACTCAGAAAAAAAAAAACCTATGTTCAAATATGGTAAAAGTTTAACATCTTCATTTTTTTAAGAGCCAACCAAATCAAAAACAGACAAACTTTTTGAAAACCAGTGTCCTCAGGTCAAAAACTGGCAAAGGAAATGAACAGATAAAAAGGTAAAATGGCTAAGAAACATGAAACACCCTGATAACCAAAGTAATCCAAAATAAATAGAGATTCCTGCCTGATAAGGAAAATTCCAAGAAATAAAGACCCTTGTAATTACTGATGGATATATAAGTTAGTACAATCTTTCTGGAAAATAATACAGACTATGTAAAGATTGCCTTAACATGTTTGAACTTCAGATTCAGTAGAAAGTGTCTCCACAGAAACTTAATACAACTTTACAACTAGAAGAAACCTGCAAATAGTCAAAATATTTACCAATAATGTTAAATGAATTGATATAATCACACAACAAAATAGTATGGTAACCCTAAAATTATATATATACTTTTTTTTTTTTTTTTGGCTGGTTGTGGGGCTTGAACTCTGGGCCTGGGCGCTGTCCCTCAGCTCTTCAGCTCAAGGCGAGCGCTCTACCACTTGAGCCACAGCGCCACTTCCAGTTTCCTAGTGGTTTATTGGAGATATGAGTCTCACAGACTTTCCTTCCCCGGCCTGGCTTTGAACTGTTATCCTCAGATCTCAGTCTCCTGTGTAGCTAAGATTACAGGCATGAGCCACCAGCGCCCAGCCTAAAATTATATTTTTAAATAGTTAATAACCTAAAATATGTTCAACATATGCCATGAGTATAGGAAAAAAACAGAATAAACACTGTTGCATGTTACAAGGATAATTTTAAATAACTCCTAATATAGGAGGGAAATGAAACAAAATAGGAGCATTATTTTTGCTTTTCTTTTTTCTTTTTGGTCGGTCGTGGGGCTTGAACTCTGGGCTCGGGCACTGACTCTCAGCTCTTCAGCTCAAGGAGAGCACTCTACCACTTGAGCCACAGCGCCACTTCCAGTTTTCTAGTGGTTTACTGGAGATAAGAGTCTCAGGGACTTTTCTGCCTGGGCTGGCTTTGAACCGCGATCCTCATATCTCAGCCTCCTGAGTAGCTAGGATTACAGGCATGAGCCATGGGCACCTGCTTATTTTTACTTTTCTGTGTATTTTAAAGTTCCTATAACACATGTAAAAGGAGTCACTATATTTTAAGTGAGGAAATACTTCAACTGAAAAATTTTACCTGTTATCAATATACTTCGGATCTCACTCAAAAGTGTTAAGAATTTAACAAGAATATAATCCACAGATAAAACCTTCATTATAATTAGTACTTGCCCTCTACCTTCTTAATATACTTTTGGTTCAGAATTTCATGTAGGAAATGTGTACAGAACACATCCGTTACCAGTACAGCCCTAGTGGGCTGGCCAGCTTGAGTGCTATCTTTCAATATTGTGAACAACCAAGTATAGACTCCATGACCAAACCACAGATAATTCAACCATAATAGTATTTCCATGACACACTTGCCTGACTAGAAAGTCTTCGCCCAAGACCACCCACTTATGGCCCACAAACCATCAGGTAAAAGTTTACTGCTGAAATAATCTATGAATTGATAACTCTAGCATGAAGAACTCTAAATTCCATGCCCAGATCCCCAAATGCCCCTCCTCATCCCCTGCTTGTTTTCTCTGGCAGGATGTTTTATAGTATGTTCATTTCCAACTCAACTAATAAAGCAGCTCTTTAAAGTTTAGAAAAACACTGCTTATTGGGTTCCTGGGTCCAGCATGTGTGCAATACATAAATAAGCAAAGAACACATGTACAGTACCTTCCTGAAGCAGGGTTGGTTTGGCAAAATTTTCTCCACTCATTAAAACAACAAAAGATGCAGCTGCTCGAATTGTAGCCTGCCATGTTGACATGGCAACGGGTGGCTCCTGGCATGGAAAAAGGGCCCTGTTGTTTATGGGAGATCCCATAGTATAAACACATGGCCTGCAGAAGAAAGACAAAGACACAAAGAGGGAGCATCTTTAAAATGAGTTGTCACTTTTCTCACCACCATAGTAGGGAAGGTTAAGTTGAACTTTCAAAGTGAAAACATTTGAGGCTTTATCGTTGTCTGGTTTCAAAGCATATTCAAGCAAGACTGCCAAGGGGCTAGCTATGTGAATAGTCCAGCGGTTATTTCTCCCAAATGAATTACTTAAATATGTAAAGAGGTGTTTTTTAAGGTTTTTTTTTAAGAGGAAAAAAAATTGGATCAAGTTTTAAATACTAGTCTGCCAAGTTATAATTTATATTACCCTTGCCCCCTCCCCTTAGGCCCTTGTGCCTTCAAAAGAAAAAAAAAGTTTTGAGACATTCTTACAAACTTTTTGGAAAGTATTCTGGAAAAGAAAATATGTTTGGAGATCATTGAGATATTAATGTTTGGAAAAACAAGCTGGTGGTCTCAAATCCAGTGCTGGCGGTCAGATACCCCCAATCTTGGAAACCACCTTCTAAAATGGAACCCTTGTGGGAATCCTTGTGTGGAGGCCAAGAACAGGGGTTGGCATACAAACAGCACTGCAGGTCACAACAACCAGGCTTGTGACGGGAAGGCCAAGTACGTTACAATTACCAAAGCAAGTATAGGAAACCAACTGCATAGCTTTAGGTCTCACTGTGCCACAACTTATCTAGATAGGTAGATAGATAGATGATAGATAGATAGATAGATAGATAGATAGATAGATAGATAGATAGATAGATAGATATTTTCCTCAACCAAGAAAATCCTTCCATCATTGTCACAGTTGACAAATGAACAAGACCCACAAAATCAAAGGAATTCGTTCTTTTGGAACCACAGAGTAAAAAAGCACAGGCTGATTCCTCAGAAAAACATCTGAAGAATATGTTTCTATTCTTTATTTTTCAGAGTTAATTACAAATACGTCATTTTAATCAGTGAAATGGAGATGAGTGTTACTTCTTGTGAAAAATTGCTTTTCATCTTTTTGTGCCAGTCCTGGGGCTTGAACACAGGCTTGGCACTCTTCCTTAGCTTTTAACTCAAGGCTAGCACTGTAAAACCTGAGTTAGTATCTGTATTTCCAGTTTTCTGGAGATAAGCATCTCACAGACTTTTCCCAGGGCTGGCTTAGAATCTTGCTCCTCAGATTTCAGACTCCTGAGTCGCTAGGATTACAGGCTTGAGCCATTGTAGTTCAGCTGCTGTTTCCTTTTTTCATTAACATTATAACTCAAGAACGATGCAAGAATACAAGAGTGATGGCTTTACTCTATCAGTCAGGGTCCAGTAAGGAAAAGAGAAAACACTGGTTCTTTTTTTAAAAAAAAACTATTTTTTTTGTCTTTTCTTTCTTGGTACTGGAATTGAACCCAGGACGTTGCACTTGCTAGGCAAGTGCTTTGCCACTGAGCTACATCCCAGCCCAACACTGGGTCTTAATAAAGAGGTAATTTATATATGAACTAATTATACAAATGATAAGAGAGCCAAGAAATCGATTTATACAGCACCTAATTATACAAATCATAGGAGAGCTGACAGCAGGCAACCCAGAGATAAGTACAAGTTAGCTTTAATGCCTAAGGTTGAAGGAGCTAGTAGTGTTACTGGGTCAGAGGCAGGGATGGTCTGGCAGAAGCCAACATCACAAGGGGACTGTGCAGTAGGAGCTAGAATCACATTGGAGACGGTTATACTGAAACTGCCAAAGGAAGCAAGGAGAGTTTCTCACCAGCTCCTTCTCTCAACTCCTCCTCCAATGCTCCCTGTCAGCCAAACCTAGCTAGAAGTCAGCAGAAGAGAGCCTGGGAAATAAAATTCCTTGAAGATCCAGAGATCACAGCAAGAGCAGAAAGTAGATCTTAAGATAAACATAGTTGCAGTACACTTATCCTACAAACATATGTCATGATATTTCACAAGTTTTTTATGAGACAGAGAAAGAAAATCGGAAAGTCAGAATACATTAGTCCTAGCAGGCTTGCCAACTTATTAAATAACTTTGAGAGAAACCTTTTAGCCCTCTGTGTAATGATACAATGGGGTTAAATGGGAAGGAGGCAGATGACAATTATTGTCTCTTCTGGTCCTAAGTCTATGGCTCTGTATCTCAAGTTAATAGATGTATGAATAAAGAGAAAAACTACATACAAGGCCCAGACTTCCCACCAATCAATTTCAAATTCTGAGTGTCTACACTGTTCCCCATGGATCCTTGGCTAATTGACTTAACCTCAGTTAACTACCCAGCCTTAGGCTGTTCAAGGACCTAACAAGGACAGCAGCATGCTCACTGGGATGGTGGTAAAGAGAGGGAGGGATCCCATAGCAGCTCAAATTATTCTCAGGTGGAGCCAAGGTATTTCTAATTCAGAAAATTCTACCTAGTAGGTATTGCATTGTTTAAAAAAAAATCCCATTGTGTAGAGAATCCCAGGAAGGAAAAGAATTAGTAGGAAAAGGGCAGGAATTTCCATTGGCCAAATGGCAAGGTGACTTTTGCTGTCCCTGACAATGAAAGATGCTGAGGGAAGATGTTTTCTTTCTCACAGAAACAGAAAAGATCTCCAATTTTTCTTATTGAAGACCTCCAGGAAGCCAGTTCCAATCTACTACACTCGTGGAGTTCAATCTGTTTATGATATTTACAGGGAAGTGAAAAGCCCTTGCTCTAGAGTTCTCCTAAGATGTCTGCCTCATGAACAAGGACTGACTGCATGCTATACTCTGGTGCTTAGCACACTACTGAAAGTGTGTGTGCTTGCAGCACCTCATTTGCCTTGGGTGACTCTGGTGTGATAAGGTTTCCTCCTCTACACAGTCAAATGACAAGCTTGCCAAGATGTTGTTCTTTTTCTCCTTCCAATGTTGGTTTGGAGCCATGCCAGCGTATCATTATGTACTATATCCATGTACTATATCCTTAGGTATAGGGTCCCAAGACTTCCTCCATCAGCCTCCCTAGTTCTTCCCTGCATAATCCATTAGCTTTGAGATGAGGTCATACTCAAGAGATCCTATGAAGCAGAATTCAAAGGATTTAGTAAGTGATTTAGTAAGTGGAGAACGGGAAGAAGGAAAAGAAGACATCTTGCTAGGTGTTAATGGCTCACACCTGCACTCCTAACTACTTAGGAGGCTAAGATCTGACGATTGGGTTCAAAGCCAGCCCAGACAGGAAAGTCTGTGACACTCTTTTTGAATATGTTTTTTTT